ATATCACGTTGCACTTTATCATGTCAAAATTATTTTGTTTTTATTAAAAGTAAACAAAATGACCGCACATGCCAAACTATACGAAAAAAATATTGCCAATTATTTATTTATTATTATATTAATACTATTTTGAATCTATATTTTTTATGTATTGCGAGTGCACATTAGTGATATATAGATTGCACATATGTGTCTATCACATTGCACAAAAACGAATGATATCAAACAAACAGAAATTCAGTACGAATTATATATTATTATTATTATTATTATTATTATTATTATTATTATATATCGAGTATTTCGGCACGAAATCGTGCTTTTTAGATTTTAGAATTACTTAACACTATCTCTCTATTTATTAAATTATTAATAATTTGGTATAAATACTTATATCACTAATTAAATTATGTCATAATTAATATTTTACAAAAATTAAAAATAGTCCCTAACATTAATATAATTTCCATAAAACTAACCCCTAAATCAATTCACACACAAATTAACCAAAATTGCATTTCATCTAAATAATTCAACCTGCAAATTTTTCAAACGGTCAATCAATTTCATTCCATAAAAACTGAATACAGATACATAGATATGTTCATCCACTGGATTTACAAGAACCGGGAGATACAACAAAAGGAGCCAAAAGAAAACAACTACCAGATACCTAAAACAAAAGAGACCAACACCCTGCCTATGAACAATATGTACAACGCAATACTCAAGGAAAATTCACCCAAATCAATATTAACCACAATCACCTGCGAATTCACCAATCACCATGCCAATTCACCAAAATCATTCACAGAATCATTTAGTCTAATTCACCCAAATCATAATTCACCACAATCACAATACAATTCCTCAGCCCCAAAAGGTGTTTCCGGCCGCCGCCTCCCATCTCCGTTCAGATCTACGGCGAGCTCAGTCTGCAACTCGCCGGAACGGCAGCCCTCATCATCAATACAATTGGGGGGCTCGACGGGTGGGCTGATTGAGTTTGAGACAGGGGCAGGGGACGATGTGGCGGTGCTGGGATGGATGACGCCCTCGACTGGATGTTAGTGGCGGCGACGGCGACCGTTTGGGCGGCGACGGGAGAGATTGTGCTGATGGCAGTGACCGGTGGTTTTGTGGTGGGTTGTTTCCGGCATGTCCAGGAGGAGAGGAGGAGGGGGGCGCTGCTGGGTATGGCTGTCGGCGCTCGACGGGACGGTAGCGGCGGCGACGGCGGCAGTCCGGTGGCGGCGGTGACAGGTGGTTTGTGGGCTTAGACCGTCGTGAGTGTGTGTGAAATTGTGTGTACGGGAGAGAGAGATGTGAGTATAAAGATGGTGTGGGTCCATGTGGTATGTGTAATGACCAACTTACCCTTAATTATTGATCAAATGCACATATTTGACCACATTATAATCAAATAATTACCAGTTTGCCATTAATGATTGACCATAGTTTGACTTCATTTTCACCATTGATATGGTTGATCCCATGGTTCAAGTTCATTCTTATTTCTCGCATTAAGAGTCATTCTCATATGATCCCTTCTCTCTCTCTCTCTCTCTCTCTCTATATATATATATATATATATATAGAGGGTTGGGTTCAAGTGAGAATGGTGCTAAGTGAAAGAAATAAGAATACACCGTGGCCACCGGATCAGATAATCTAACGGCAAAAAACATACAACACTTTTACATTAATTAGGGGCATTATGGACAGTACACACAATCCCCATCCACCCTTGGCCCCACCCCACCCTACGCACCATATCCCCTCTCACACAAACCAACACACACTAACAGACACACTACACACACTACGCACAGCTGCAACCATCTCCACCTGGACCACCTCCACTACGTTCACCGCCGCCTCCGCCCCACCACGACCGCCGCCCACTCCTCGCCTGTCGGAATTGCCGCCAGCGTCTCCCCCACCGCTGCCATCCACCCGATTTCCCTCATCTTCTCCTCCAACCTCGCGCCGAAATTCCATCCCACTGTCGACCTTCTTCTTTTCTCCGACAGCAACCAATATTCTTCGTTGAGGACGAGTTTTTTGGGACCTTCGCAGGATCGCGACCTGTGGACTTCCTTGGATGCTTGAAAAGTATCTCCTCAAATCGATAAGGCCGGGGAAGATACTAGATTCAATCTGAGTTCGATAAAGATTGGTGATTGGTGATTGCTCCGCCGGGAATTGGTGAATGGCGATTTAAATTGAAAATTCGATCGGAATTCGACCGGAGAGAATTGGTGATTGCGCCGCTGTCCTTTATCCTCCTCTGGTACTGACGACAACCGAGAACCGAGAAGTGAGACGGAAGATTGATTTTTGACCTAGGGGCTTCATTTAAAATTTTGATAATTTGTAGGGACCTAATTGCAATTTTATATATTTTTAATATATTATAATTAAGTTCATAAGTCAAATATACAATTTAATAAAACTTTAATAACTGCACATTATTGTACAGTGCATTGCACCATATCGTGTTTGGAATTGCACATTAAAAATATCACTATACAGATTGCACAATATTGTTTTACAAATTTCACTTTAGTGCATGTGATATTGCACTTTATCGCAACAGTGTATTTGTGTAATGGCTTAAATTTTTGAAAGTTAATAAAAAATTTGTTTCTATATATCTTTTATATATATATATATATATAATATTAAACAATAAAAATATTTCAATCATTTAGTGTAATTCGTTGCATAATTATATTTACTAAAATTAATTTCCGAATACATATAACTTATCTAGGATCATATAAAGTAGCGCACTTTATATATCAGTACATTGCACTTTATAAAGAACGACGTTGCACTTTATTGAACAACATACTGCACTTCATACGATCTACAATTAACGTCGATAGCATCTGCCAAAATACCACACATCATAAATCTAAAAAATATC